AAATATATATATATAAATATATATATATATATATATATATATATATATATATATATATATATATATATATATATATGTATTTTGCGTGTGTATGTATATATATATGTATGTGTGTGTATGTATATGTGTGTATGTATATATATATATATGTATATATATATATATATGTATATATATATATATATATATATATATATATATATATATATATATATATATATATATATATATATATATATATATATATGTATATGTATGTATATATGTATATGTATATATGTATATGTGTATATGTATATGTGTGTATGTGTATATGTGTATATGTATATGTATGTGTGTATATGTATATATATATATATATATATATACATATATACTTCTTATATATATTCTTCTTGTTTCTTTTTGTTTGTCTGTTTTAATTTTGTTTATAAAAAAAATATGAGTAGATGAACTTAAATCTATAAAATGTTTGGAATCTTTTTTAATTCAAAATATCTTTTGTATATTTAAATATATAATATGAAGTTATATACGGTCGGAAGCCCCCTATCCTCCTCAATTTGAATTTTCACACTGGTACCATTTTATAATTTGACTTGCTGAAGTTTCGCCTAAACTTTTCGGCACTTTTTACACTTGAATTGGTTTGCAGCTAATATTTTTGTTGGACTTGTTGCTTGTTTTATTTGCTGTTCTCCATTAGAGCTAAACTAAGTTGTTTTTTAGCTTGATTTGCTGCTTTTTTGCTCTCAGCATCTTACAACCTTTCAAGTATTTCAGGTTTCTTGAGACACTCACCTTTGGCACATCTACATTTTTTCTTTTTTTTGTGTCAACGTGTTGCATACGAAACATTTGTTGCAAAGCTGATTGCAGTTGTTTTGCAACTTCTTTTTGAATTTTCTTTTGAATAGCCGGAGTTACTACAATATTGAAGGTTGTTTGCAGACAAGGTGATTTTTGAGATGACTTTGTAGCTGATGCTATGTGACATATGCCGATGCTAGATGTTGTTGGTGTAGATTCAGAGGGAAGTGGCTGAGGTAGTGTAGTTCCTAGTGCTAGATTTGGTGATGGCACTATCATAGATTCTGGTTGTTGAGATTATGAAGGCTCAGGTTTAGATCATGGTGTTTTAAATGTATTAAAAATTTGCAACTTTGACTGATCGATTTTATCGATATTGAGTGGAAACAAGCCATTATTCTAAAACCCAGTGACTATCTGGGTACGTGTAAAAACTTCACCAGAGCTGAATAGTTTTTTTTGCAGGTGACTGAAACATTCTTTTGATAAATTGCTCAACTTTGTCTCTGCATAAAACTGTTGAAGTAATTTGCGTCAAACTCTTTTGACATGGCAATAAACACCAACATCTAGTGGCTGTAGAATGTGCGACGAGTGAGCTGGCAAGCAAATTAACAAGAGAGTAACTGGCGAATTTCATTCATTTATTAAAACCATTTTATAAAAACAGTTAGTAAAAGTCTTTTAAATTCAGTTGGAAAAATTCGTTCATTGAAATTTATACAAAAAATTTATAGTTGGAGATTTAAGTTTTATTCAACCCCGCAACACTTCGTTTCCGTTTTTAACTCAAAACTTTTTTTCCTAAAAAGCAACTTTAATTTTGAAAAAAGATTCTTGATCAGCGTAAAAAATTGTTCTAGAAAACATTTTAAGTTCAATGGTATCAAATTTAATTTCTGAAAGTTTTAAGTTCCCTTTTCAAATAAAAAAAATCTTATTATGCATTCGAAAACTTATAAATTTATTTCAAAATTTTTTTTATTAAAAATAAAATTTTATACAATCTTACTCAGAAAAATATTTTCTACAATATAATCAAAAAATATTTACAAAAAAATTATAAGAATAAACATTGTCATAACTATTTTGTTCTACCCATTATTATATTTTACCCTGTTTTACTCTAATCGCTTCCGTTTTTGTCTCAAATTCGTCCGACATTCATGCTCATCTTTTTTATTTCTACAAGAGTAACCGTCATATTGGTTATTTTTAATTTTGCGTTTATTATTTTAGCGAAATTTACTTCTTTTCTATTAAATATCGCTTCCATTTTTTTCTCAAATTCATTTTTTTTCATTCAAATTCAAACAAGTCCGTTCTGTTCAAGAACGGAACGGAGTTGTTTTTTACTTGATTTGCGGAGTTGGAGTCGCTAAACAATACCGCAACCCTACTCCAATAGTAAAACTTCTCGGTATTGCACGTGCATGTACAAATTTTTTTTTTTTTTTTTTTTTTTTCTTTTGGATTAAGGTGCCCCAAGAAGTCCTTACGGTCTTATCACAGAGCACCGCGAAAGAGCATTTAATGGGAAGTTAATTACAAATTAATTACAAAGTTAATTAATTAATTACAAATTAATTACAAAGTGCTTTTCATATATTTAAAAAAAATTAATTTTTTTAACTACAAAGTACTTTTCATATATTTAAAAAAAAAAAAGATTTATTTACCTCTTAATATTTTTTAAAGAATTCAAAGAATTTTTTTGAAAATTTTGTTTTGGAGTCCCAGGCGGTACTTTTTTTTTACGACTTCACACCATTGCTTTAAACAATAAATCAATATGTCAGTTACTCTTGTGGAAATAAAAAAGATGATCAAGATTATGTTCGATAAATTTGAGAAAAAAACGAAGCAATGCTTAATTGACAAGAAGTAAATTTCGCAAACTTAAAAATAACAAACATACGTTTAGATAAAGTTGAAAAGTTATATCCCAGTTGGCACCGGACCAAAAAACACGTCTTTTAGACGTTTTGGTCCGGTGCCAACTGGGATAAGACGTTCAAAATGTGTATAAGACGTTTAAAAGATGTCTTTTTTAAGTCCGTGTCCACTAGGATAATGACAATGCTATTATTTTAACTTCATTATCATAAGATGTTGATGAGTTGTAAATAAGCTTAAACTTTCATAAAGAAATTTTTAAGAATAAGATAAAGACCGCCTTTACAGCCGTGATTAAAAAAAATAAAATAAAAAATAAAAGGTAAGAGTGAGTTTGTATATGTTAAAATTAAATTAAGAGAAATAGAGAAAAGATCAAGAAAAAATAATCTAAGGATCGACGGATACATGAAGCTGAAAGCAAAACCTGGGAAGTGAGTAAGGCAAAGGTCCTATATTTGTTTGGAGAACTTGGAACTTCAAAAAAACCTTGGCTTGGAAAATATAAAAATTGAGCAAGCACATTGTATAAATTTGAGTAACACTAATAAATCGAAGACTTTAGTTCTTAAGTTATTAGACTTCAAGGATGAAGTTGCAATCCTAAAAAAATCATCGAGTTTGAAAGGGGAAAATGTATACACTAACAAGGGTTTCTGCGCGAAAAGAAAATTATTGCAAAAATATTTGCGAGAAAAAAATTAGATTGAAAAGAGATTCGGAGAAATTCGCATACATATCTCACAATAAATTCGCATACATATCTCACAATATCGCATACATATCTCACAATATCGCATACATAACTCACAACATCGCATACATATCTCACAATATCGCATACATATCTCACAATATCGCATACATAACTCACAATATCGCATACATATCTCACAATATCGCATACATATCTCACAATATCGCATACATATCTCACAATATCGCATACATATCTCACAATATCGCATACATATCTCACAATATCGCATACATATCTAACAATATCGCATACATATCTCACAATATCGCATACATATCTCACAATATCGCATACATATCTCACAATATCGCATACATAACTCACAATATCGCATACATATCTAACAATATCGCATACATATCTCACAATATCGCATACATATCTCACAATATCGCATACATATCTCACAATATCGCATACATATCTCACAATATCGCATACATAACTCACAATATCGCATACATATCTCACAATATTGCATACATAACTCACAATATCGCATACATATCTAACAATATCGCATACATATCTCACAATATCGCATACATAACTCACAATATCGCATACATATCTCACAATATCGCATACATATCTCACAATATCGCATACATATCTCACAATATCGCATACATATCTCACAATATCGCATACATATCTCACAATATCGCATACATATCTCACAATATCGCATACATATCTCACAATATCGCATACATAACTCACAATATCGCATACATATCTCACAATATCGCATACATAACTCACAATATCGCATACATATCTCACAATATCGCATACATAACTCACAATATCGCATACATATCTAACAATATCGCATACATATCTCACAATATCGCATACATATCTCACAATATCGCATACATATCTCACAATATCCCATACATATCTCACAATATCGCATACATATCTCACAATATCGCATACATATCTCACAATATCGCATACATATCTCACAATAAATTCGTACATGATTGATATTCTTTTTTTTTTCATGAATTTTTAGTTTCCTTTTTTATTCTTATTTAAATTTTTTGTTTGTTTAACAAAATGGCGAATAATGTGTTTGACCCAAGTATATTTTGAAAAATGAAATTAAGATTCTTTTGAGAATAATCTTTTAAACAATCTTTCTGAAGACAATTTAAATATTTTTTTTAAAAACTCTAATGAATTTAATAAAAACACAATAGTTTAATAAAAACACAATAGTTTAATAAAAACACAATAGTTTAATAAAAACACAATAGTTTAATAAAAACACAATAGTTTAATAAAAACACAATAGTTTTCATGGAAACACAATAGTTTGATAAAAACATAAAAGTTTGAAGCTACAATACAATAATACAAGCTACAAGTTTGATCCTTACGAATTAAAAATCCAAAAAGATTTAAATTCCATTTCTATATTACACTTAAAAATAAGTAGCATGGTTCAAAATTTTGAAAAATTTAAAGAACTTGTATTTATTATAAATTCTTTTCAAAATATCTCAATGAAAGGAACGATTACCTTCATTGCTCCTCTATGAGTCCGCCTATGGGTAGAAGAGCATCTGTTTAGTTTTTTCAATAATAATTGATAGTTTTTTGACTTAACCGGTTAGAAATTTTAATAAGTTTAGTGCAATCTGGCAAGGTTTGTTAGGTCAACGTTGTAATTGACAAAACAGACTCTAAAATTTTTTCAGCTTGCTAATCACATTGTATTAATTTTATAGTTTGCTCATCAAACTATACAAGTTTTTATTAAATCATTTTATTTGTTTTAAGCGCAATAGTAGACTTTACGTGCATCCATAGACTTAACGTGCAGAGACAT